AGCTTACATGGTAGAAGAGAAACAACTCTTGAATGTTGTCCTTTAACCTCCATAGACAGACAGACAAACAGACAGACAGACAAGATATTATATGTGCATGCACATCCATAAATAATAGAAATGGATGTTTACTTTCACTTAGGACTCTAGCAATTTTGAAATCTGCAGTTTTCCTGTTACATATCTATTTTTTAATTAAACGTTTTTTTCTTTAAAAATTTTTATTAGTATTTTGAAAATTTCATACAATGTGTTTTGATCACATTCATCTCCTCCTTAGACTCCTTCCAGACCCAACTTTGTGTCCTTGTATTTTCATCTATCAAATCCAATTTGTGCAGCCCACATATTTGTGAACAACAACAACAAAATTATATGTCTGTGTGGGTCTATTACACATGAGTGCCCCATGCCTGTGTAGGCCAGAGAGGGTGCATGATTCTCTCAATTGGGGTTACAGGTAGTTGTGTGGGTGCTGGGAACCAAAGTCTGGTCTTTGGGAAGAGCAGCAAGTGTCCTTGATCACTAAGCCATCTCTCTAGTCCCATGGAGCTCTATTCTTATTTCTTCAAAAAATTCTGCCTTCCCTGACCCTTGAATTTGAAGGAAAAAATCTCTTCCAGGCTTCTAGAGCACTCTGAATACTTTTCAAACATAACATAGAACACAGCGTACTGTAATTCTTCATTTATGTTTGAATCTCTTTTCAGCCTTAAGTCTTTTAGGGAAGAATCTGTGTCCATCCCTCCCCATCCCATGTTTATCTTCTCATCCCTTGTAACTTACAGTATCACACAGTACATGCTCAATAAACTTTAGCTGCATGGATGAAGGAAGTCATTAGTATTTTGTTTTTCTTGTGTGCAAAGGAGGTTTAGTCCAATACTTGTAGTTTCTTTGACTCACCATGGAGTAATCTTTAAGGCCTTTCTTTTGTAAGTTAGCTGGATTTTGGGGTCCTCAAGGCATAATCATCCTACTGCCTACACAAGACTTTTGGGAGCTTTACTATCTGCATGCTATAGACAAAGCAAAGACTATCGCCCATAGCCCTGGATAGTCTGTTTCCAACAACTTATTTCCTGCTGGCATTTTACAAAATCTCTAAGTATTTCAAGACCAATGTAGCCTTCATCTATCTTCTTGTTATCACTTTAATATAAATATATGACCACTTCTGTATGCTGTATGCCAGTAATTATTCTCTTAATGGGAGACATCTTTATAAATAAATCAGTTTGTGCAACTATGTAGCTGGGTATTTCTGGCTAGGTCCCCTCTTCTGGTTTTTTTTTCCCCCTGAGGAGCTTCTGTGGTACTTTTATAGACTTCCAGGGCTCTGTAAATCCCATTGAGTAAACCACTGGTTTGTTAGCTTGGTCACAAGGAGTAGCACTGGTTTGTATAAAACTTTACAAACTCAATTTATGAGTGTTAAAGAAGCATATGTTGCTTCAAGATGAAGATTCTTTAAATTTTTTTGAGATTCTCTCTATCTGTCTGTCTGTCCATCCATCCATGTATGTGTATGGGTATCTTGCCTACCTGTATGTTTATGGACCACTTGTGTGTCTGGTGCCCATGGAGGCCAAAAAAAGGGCACTGGATCACCTGGGACTGGAGTTACAAACAATTTAGAGCTATAGGTGCTGGGAATTGAATCCAGGTCCTCTACTGAGCCATCTTTCAGCTCAAGATGTAAATTTTTTTCAGTGAAGAGAATAATCATAGTTTATTCCAGCTATTTTTAAAGTTTAATTTTTTGTTTTTACAAGTCAAGCTTCCTAAAAATCAGCTACCAAAGGAAGAAATGTTGGCCAGCCTCATGCAAACGAGCAGTCTTTCTCCCTCTGTGCACTCTTCAGCCAACAGATGTCACTAAAGGTACCAGTACCCAGAGGCAACGGGAAGGAAAGATTAAACAAATGGAAATTGAGCATAAAAACATCCACTTCTTAAAACTGAGAAGTAGGTTTCCAGAGTAATAACATTTATTACACTGCATGCAACATTTTAACCAAAAATTTAGAGAAAGAAATTTCTTTTATTAAGTTGCTCAGGCTGAAGGATCATTGCACTAAGTTTTGAAATACATGTTCTTGAAGCAATTTAAAACTCATTAGAAATAATAGGCTAGGGCTAGTAGAAAATGTGGTAAAATTTAATCCTCATCCAAATGTTACCTGGGCTGTACAAACAGGAAATTGTTTTGTGCTACTGTGGCTAACCTCAGTGCTGACCCTGAGCTGTAACAGCAAGAGCAGCTGAGAGCTGAAGCAAAATTAAAAACTTACATCAAAGTATATCATGACAGAATGTAGATAAATAAAACAGCATATCAAAAGTATTATTTTTCTGCCAGTCTCACAGAGCAGTGAAGAAGAGATGGTCCATAAAATGTGTAATAAATCAGGTGTATTAAGCAATGAGCCCTCTCTAGTACCGCCCCATCCCCAACTACCCAAACATTATCCAGGAGAGATGAAGCTCCCAGGGAGCTCAAAGAGGATGGGGACAGAGCCCTTAGGTTCCTGTCCTTCACCTTGAATACCCAACAAGTGTTCCACGCCCTGCTCAGCTGCGCTGCCATTCATCTTCCAGACTCCGAGATGGCAACCGCGTGATCTCCCTCCAACATGCATGCCAGACTCTCCAGAGGAAAAACATGGCAAGAAAATAGTTCAGACCTCAGAAGGCTGGAAGTCAGCATGGGATTCCATGGAGGATGGGGGACAGTCTTACATTCTTCTATGTGAAGAGTGTGTTAAAGTCAATGGTAACACAGTTGGAGGTAAATTTTCCCACTTGGACCTTTGGTTTCCCTTAAGTTTTAGGATGAAAATCACTAAAATACATCGAGCTTGTCATAAACTTCTTAAATCTTCTCAAGAGCAGGAAGGGATATGAAAAATGACTATAGTCTATAGTCACCCTGATTTCCAGTGAAATTCCAACCTGACCAACTGACAGCTACACAACACCTGGCAAGCTTCTTAATGCCAACAGCTTCAATTTCAGTTTCGTGTTACAGTAATCACAGTGGCTAGTATGGTCGTTATAGTAACTGTCGTCATCAGGTTTCCATTGCTGGGAAGAGACACCATGACCACAGCAACTCTTACAAAGAAAAACATTTAATAGGGTCTGGCTTACAGTTTAGTTTCAGAGGTTTAGTCCATTGTCCTCATGGCAGGAAACATGGTGCGAGCAGACATGGTGCTCAAGAGTTCTACAACTTGATTCACAGGCGACACAAGAAGAGAGTGCCACACTGGGCATTGCTTGAGCATATAAAACCTCTAAGCTCACCCCTACAATAGCACACTTCCTCCAACAAGGCCACACCTCCTAATGGTGCCAGAGTCTATAGGAGCCACACCTATTCAAACTACCACAGTAATTACTAAGGCCTTTCAGGACAGTATCTGACTCAATTCTTTACAACCACCTCCAGCTTACCCAAGGTCAGGGAACCAGCAATACCTGTCCTGAGGACTTGAGGAATGGATGATAAATGACTTCATAGAGCATTTGTTGTCATTTGCATCCTTGATGATGGTCCTTCTGACTGGGCTGAGATGGAATCTCAGTAGTTTTATCTGCATTTCCCTCATGGAAATACGTTGAATTTCATTACGTTTAAAAAAAAAAAGTTTGAATACGTTAAAAAAAATGGTTTGTGGTCCACTCCATAGGAGGGAATCCATGTCTAGTACTATATGCTCAGCCCCAAATCCATGAGTGAACAGGTCTCAGGCCCCACTGTGGAATCTATACTGCCGCTTTGCTGAACCAAGCCACATCAAGTCATCTAGACACCACGCTCATACCTGCAGACAAAAGCTACTTACTAATCCGAGCGGCCTCTTCCTACAGTGAATGGAAGTGACTGCAAAGATCCATGGCTTCAAAAATGCTGCAGATAAAGGGTGGCTGAAGGCTCTACCCTAAATAAGACACTACCCCTAAGGCTCAGGGAACACTGCCAAGAGGAGGCAGAAAGAACCAAAGAACTGAACAGGAGAGGGAAGGGCTGCAAACCCCATCTTGGAAGCATGACACGACCACGGGATATCATGAACTCCCTGCAGCGGTGTGTGCTGGCGCTGGGCCCACGAAAGCCCGACCCTCAACAGTCAGCTATGGGTGGGGAGGGACTCCTGGAGCCTCTACTTACTGAACGTCTACTGGGAATTAACTGATTCTGGGGGAGGGCGGCGCTCAGCTGTGTCCCTACTGGTGGGTACAATGCCCACAAGCTCTGAAGCTTAGTTCTGAACCCAGCGTCACACCACTTCTACAGGACACAAAACAAAATAAAAACTAACAAACATGGGCAAGAGTACTAAAAGGAAGGGGCTATCAGGGGAATATGGAGGGTCTGGAAAGACAGTGACCAGAATACAGTACATACATGTATGAAATTGTTAAATAAAAAAGAAACAAATGCTTATAACCCAAAAAAAGTCTCAACAAGAAAATTAATGAAGTTGTCTTAACTGGCAAGTGTTAGGGATAATGGTAGTTCTTAGGCTTAAAATGCTAAATAAATTGTAAAAAAATTATAATGTGATTGACTAGAACAATCTTGACTCGAGAACTCTACTTCTAGTAGTACAGAACCAAAATGTACTATTTCTTGTAATATTGTAATAAAACACTGACTGCCATTTGCCAGGGTATTGCCTGACAAAGTTGTCTAAGAATTCATAGACCCAAGACAGCAAATTCCTTGATATAAAATCGAGAAATTATGAATACACCATAACTTTAAAAAGTCTACTGTATTTTTTACTACTGTCATTGGAATTTTATCCCAAAGAAATGCATCAAGTTGGCCAGAATGTCATTACCTCTCCCGCGTGATGCTTTCTGCACTATTACTCACCCCACAAATTCATACAGATACGGAGGTTCGGAAGAATGAAGCAGTGCGCCTGCTTCCCTCCAGGAGCAGGTGAAGGTACCCTGCAGAGAGCAGTGTGTAAAGAGGTATTTACCATAAGTGCAAATCATTTTGCTCGCTTCTCTGAAGAGAAGAATTCCATTAGGAGAGGATACATCAAAATTCAAACGTTGAGACCTAAGAAACATAGCAAAAATCAGACTACTCCTGCAGATAAAGAAACCAAATATCAGCATGTCTAGCAATTTCATTTACAAGAAGCAGCTCAGTACCAATTATTCTATAAAGAGCCACTCCAATGGAACAGCTACTGATAAAATATGTACAATAATTTCTTCACTATTGGTTGATTCAAAGGGTTCATTTTTTTAATTTATCAAAACAATATTCTAATATTTTATATCACAGACCTCCTATCTATTCTCCTTTCATGCAAAGTGGCTGATGGATAATTTTTTAAAAACTATTATTAAGTTACAAACTTGCTATCTCCCACAGTGTAAATCATATCTTTAAAAAAATTCTAGAGTGACAGGAGATGCAGGATCTTTTAGTAATGCACAAATGGAAACTGGGTCATCTCACAAATGTTAACACATTTCAAATATACTACACAATATAGACCATAGTTTCCACTGTACACAGCTAAGCTAATAAGAAATAAATTCCACAAGTTCTGAGAAAAACTTTGTTTCCCTGGCTCCCCACAGGTGGAGAGCACTTTGAACAGAGTAAGGGATCCATAAGCCTTCTCATGTACTAGCTGCTGTTAGCCCCTCCCTGGCCTCACTTGGCTCTGGCATGCTGCTATGCCTTCAAGATACAATAGACAATGGAATGTCTTTAAACAATGTTGCAAGAAACAAAATAAAACAAAACACCAACTAAATGTCCAACAAACCAAAAAACAAAAACAAAAACAAAACTACCTCCCAAACCACAGGCAAAGCATTGCTAATGTTCTGTTTGCTAAGCAAATTGCTGCTTTTCAAAATTAGGTTACTATTAAGTACCATAATAACTGATTAGAAAATGCAAACATGTAATCCACACTAGATTCTAGAGAAATCTGTACATAGTATTTCATGAAATAAAAATTCCTTTTTTGTTTTTGTTTTTTCAAGACAAGGTTTTTTTGTGTAGCTTTGGAGCCTGCCCTGGAGCTTGCTCTGTAGCCTAGGCTGGCCTCGAACTCACAGAGATCTGACTGCTTCTGCCTTACAAGTGCTGGGATTAAAGGTGTGCACTACCACTGCTGGAGAAATACATATTCTTATATGGCAATTGTTGAGTCATTTGTGCTATTACCTGCTATGGCAGACACAAAATGCTTTATAACACAGAAAATTATTTTTTCTATTAAATGCTATTTTGTAATGTATGTCTAATTAACAATTTTAATTATAAATAATCCACATTTCTAATATTAAATATAAAGCCCATATTCTCTGAATATTTAAGGTACTTGAGAAAAAACTAAAACAAAACAAAAATTAAGCGCTTTTAAAAAAAGAAAATACATTTCTTTCACAAATCTTTGTCCATCTCTCATTTAAGAGTAAAAAAAACTGAATTATTGCTGTGAACAACTTAGCAACAGAGTGAAGCTGAGCTGTAACCCATATTCCTTCCCTGCCTGGCTGTCTGCAGAGAGGCACTAAGGAAACAGGATGGCCAGGTGACAGGTACCTGGTGCCAGGCCACATCCACAATGGCACATGTAAAAGAGGCAAACACAGGAGGTTGCTGCAGTGCCCCACCCCTTTGCCAGATCGTCATTAGTATTTATAAACACAGCGCTCTGCACAATCAGAAGGTCTGAGAAGTGTTGTGGCTGCAAATACATGTACCCAACACAGAAGGATGCTCAGAGGTAAGCAGAGACATCTTCACAGTTCCTGGGCAGACAACCACCTGCCAGTGAACTGCCCCGAGACTCAATTTCCTTACTCATAAAGTAAAACCTCTTGCTGGGGATGCTGTGAATGTGTTGCACTGACTGATTGATAAATAAAATGCTGATTGGCCAGTAGCTAGCCAGGAAGTATAGTGTAGGCAGGATAAGGAGAGAGGGGAATTCTGGGAGTTGGAAGGCTGAGTCAGGAGAAGCTGCCAGCTGCCACTGCCATGAGAAACAAGATGTAAGGTACCAGTAAGCCACAAGCCATGTGGCAACTTACAGATTAATAGAAATGTGTTAATTTAAGATGTAAGATCTAGCTAGCAAGAAGCCTGCCATGACCATACAGTTTGTAAGTAATATAAGTCTCTGTGTGTTTACTTGGGTCTGAGTGGGACTGGAGAAAACTCCAGCTACAACCTCTCAACTCAGAGACCACATTTCCTTATTTAAAATTCTACAGAATTTTAGCTAAGCAAAGTAGTTAAAATATACCCCCCCTCCATTTTGTGACTTTGAGTATTTTAAATAACAGTGGCTATAGTCTTTCAACTTTCCCTATTTCCCAAAGTTTCTGTCTATGAAATATACTACTCATTCTTCGTTGTTTTCAGACCCACACCCCTACAGTATATGGTAACTTTCTCCCTTTCAAAGCTCATGTCTATTGCTATCACAGACCGCTGTCTTGGACTCTTGAGAGACTCTGACAATTCCCATCAGGCAGCTGTGAGCTCTGCAAACTGCACAGCTGTCTGCGGACTGCACAGCTGCTTACCTGTTTTGCATCAGTTCTGCTAGAAGTTTTAAGATAGGAGTAGTACATGCTGGTTCTCCATACCATCGCTCAACAGCTCTCTGAAGAACTGGGAGATATGCTGGATACCTAGAAAGTCTGTTAAAGAATTTGGGACAAAGAACCTGAAATGTCGCTTAGTGATAGAAAACCCAACTAACACGCACAAAGTCCTGGATACCATCTCCCCAAGTAACAACAAAACAAAAAACTTATTACTGTAAATTAGTGGCATTTTAAAACAAGCAAGTAAACAAACAGAAATCCACATTTCTTTCATTTCGTGGACAATGGCATTGTATAAATTACTCTTTTTTAACTATACAGCTATACTTTTGGGGTATTTACAAAGTTTGAACCTATTTGTCCCCATAAATTAAATTGTTTTATTCCTGGTATTAGGTATAAGTCAAAGATATACTTTTAAATAGCATGTAAGTAATATGCCTAAAGAATTATGCTTAATGTTACAGGGAAGGAAAATAAATTTAGCTAAGAGGAATAAAAATATATTTGAGTCATTTTTTGGGGGGCTTCTGAGTATTATACTGGGAAAAAGACTTCTTACTATGAAAAGTTAAAAAACATAAAAGCATAGAGGAATAATAACAATAAATATTACAGATCTACCCCTGCTTCAAGATCACCTACATCTGTCTTTTTAATTTAGTTGTTGACGTCTCTGTTTTGGTACCACTGGAGCTCTAAGAAACATCTGGGTTGTTTGTTACCCTGTACAGAGGATCTGACCTGCTATTAATGTGCCACCTTCTGGGCACCACATCACTCGTTAGCTCTGTAGATGGTGGTGGTTCCAACCTGCTCAATGCCACTGTTGCTAAGAGTAAGCTCAACGTCCATGCAGGCATTCTTTCTCTCTCCAGGATCTTTCTATAACATAGCTCTGGCTGTCCTAGAACTCATCAGTTAGACCAAGGTGGCCCTGAACTCACAGAGATCCACCTGCCTCTGCTTCCTGAGTGCAGAGATTAAAGGTGTGCGCTGCTAAGCACTCTTATTAATATATATAATAATATACCTCTGATGCACCTAGCCAGGGATGCACAGTATGAAAACCTGACATCTCTGCTGGCTTCACTTGGCCTTCTTCTTGGCAAATGGACCACATAGGATTAAAGCCTCAGATTAGAGCAGAAAAGCTTGATGGCACTGCCTTCACTTCCTGTTTTGCTAGGTCCCAAGTCTCTTTCCAAGTCACGTGTGTGTTTGTTTAAGATGAAAGTGCTGAACTGGATCACCAGTTCTTTCTGTGTGGTTTGGACAGAGTTCTATGGTGAAAAACCTCAACCTAACAACACCCACCTGCCCTGTCACCCACCCACCCACTCAAGTTCCTCATCAAGGCATAAAGGCTGTTCTGCCCTATGTACAACTGGGCTTGCCCCAACTCCCTGCACAGCATGGGGCTCCACCACTTGTGCCCATTTTCCTATATGCTGCTTCCCTCGGCCTCATCCCGTCTTCCAATAACCAGCTCATGTTCTACGTCTCTGGGTTGTCTTCTCTATTTTTGTCAAAAGGCACCAATCTCTTCTTTACCTATGCTCAATGGGCACTCCTAATCACATCTCTCTGAGAATCAGGGCTGGCTGTTTGCACAACTTGCCTGTTCCATTAGCTTTGAAAGAGCTGAGATCCATGCTCCCCAACCATCTCTTCCCTCATATTCCAAGACAGCTGCCAATGACTCCTGAAAGCCTTTCCCAGCATCACTCTACCTGCTAGCCTACTGGGCGGGAGAAGGCCTAGGTATGACTCTGCTGGCCCTACCACAGAACCTATCTCTCCATTCCAAGCACTGCGAGTGCAGAAACCAGGGTTGTCTCCTATGTACAGGCTCAGTACAATGCAGGTCTCAGTATTTGCCGTTGTAAACCTACAAAGGAGCTAGAGCCTACGTGCATAGAAGTGTGTCTTCACTGTTTAAACAGCACTTCGTGCTGAGCTTTAAGAAGTCACTTCTACAATAGTGAAAATCAGCCCTCCACAGCCTGGAGAGTGTTGGGCCCCTACCAGTGGGACAGCAGCAGTTTCCCAGGAGAGACAGTATACTCAGGCTGCATCCCCAAAACAATTTCCATAACAAGTATTTGCGCAGCCCTCCTCAAGTGTACTGTTTTAGAGTCTCCAGAGATACCAGTGAACAAAAACAGTAGGAAAATGTCTTCCCTTATGGGATTTATATCTTAATAATCAGGAAGTAAAGTAAATATACATGCTAGAAAATACCACAAAGGAAAAGGGCAGGGAGTTTAAGTGAAGAGTCAGTTGGATGAAAATGATAAAAACAAAAACTAGTGTTTGATCCTCAGAACCTATATGATGGAAAGAGTGAGTTGCATTCTGATGTCTATATATGTACTGTGATGTGTGTGCGCGTGTACGCGCACACACACACCAAAAACAAAAAAAAAAAAAACAAAAAAAAACACTAACTTGACCAGAAATTTGATCTGAACTGTCAGATAGTTTACTGTTTCTCTCTAAGTACTAGGAAAGCTGTTATTGTTTAATAGACACTAGATACTACATACTATGAACTGTGTTAAGGACCAGGGATCTAGAAATAAGAAGACATAGTTTTTATCATACTTCATCAGAGTGGCGGGTGTGTAAAGGATGCTCTTCCAGTTTGGGAAAGAGATAGCCTAGGCACAAACTCTGGGACCATCAGGAAACAGACACAAACTTCCAAATCTAAGAGCACTGGAGGCCCACATAGGCCACCTTGCAAACTACTCTAAAGATAGAGCACCATGGTTTTTTAGAGCATGCTGTATTCACACTGGGATAAGACCAGGGGATATGAGGGGATGCTCTCTTTTCTTTGTGGAATGAGAGCAGTGACAATTCTAATATGCTTCTGACAGAGGTGACTGCCACAGAGAAAATGAGTGATTATTGGAAAGCAGAGCAGAGGTCTACTAAGCAGGGAGGTTAAAAGGGCTTCGGAGTGAGAGTGCCAGGCTCAGATTACAGAGTGAGAATCAAAACCCAAGTTTAATTTTCCAGTGGCCTGGTGAGGACTACATATATGTGGGCAGGAGGAAGAGAAGAGGAGCCCTTAGGTAGAAGGGGCCTGGATCTAATTTCTTTCACCTAGATCTTCTCAATGAACACCAAAGGTCTGCATTAGACAAATGAAAAGAATCCGAGGCACTAATGGTGACATCAGCAGACAGGGTGCTGAGTATGAGAAAGCAGTGAGCATCAGCTTTACCTCCACCCATGTGTCCTTCCAGTAAACCACCCAGTCATCATTAGTTTCTAGGGGCTGTACCACACAGAAAAGTAGTAAGGAGAAAAACCACAACTGTTTTCTTTGTAGATTTAATAGTAGAAAATGTGATCTATGTAATTTTAAAAAAGCGTGGAAGAAAATAAAAAGGGCCAGCATGATCACTCACTGGGTAAAGGTGCTTCTGCTGCATCTGATGACTTGAACTTAATACTCAGGACCCTTGTGGTATAGGAAAGAACTAATTCCCACAGGCTGTCCTCTAACTTCCATGTGTGTGCCGTGGTGCGCGTGCACGCACGCACGCACGCACGCACGTGCACACAAACACACACACACAAATAAAATGAACATAATTAGGAAAGATGAGAAAGCATTGTAATACATAAAACAATGTGAGTTTTTTTTTCATTAAACTGTTAGGGAATCAGGGTTTGAGGCTGTGGTCTGGACTAGAAAGAGTCTAGCAGTTCAGAGGCTATCTTAAGGCACTCCAGGAACATGCCAATGTCTTTGCTGTGTCCATGAGAGACATGTGCTGTGTGACACCTTTCCTCTCTCCTGGCCGGTAACCCATCTTTTCAAGCTTATTGTGACTTTTGGTTTCCTGGGAAACCTCTCCCATTTTGCCTAAAATAATTGTCAACTTTTCAAAAATGTTCATATGATCCTTTACACATGTCTCTTTATAACACATGTGCACTTAGTTGGTCAACAAGGGTTCCTCTTGCATGCTTACTTAATCACAAACTTCTAAAGAGCAGAAATTTATTCTTGCATTTCTTATGCATAAAACAGACATTCCAGAGCCGGGCGGTGGTAGCGCACGCCTTTAATCCCAGCACTCAGGAGGCAGAGGCAGGTGGATCTCTGTGAGTTCTAGGCCAGCCTGGGCTACCAAGTGAGTTCCAGGAAAGGAGCAAAGCTACACAGAGAAACCCTGTCTCGAAAAACAAAAAAAACAAAAAACAAAAAACAAAACAAAACAAAAAAACCAAAAAAAAAAAAAACAAAACAAAACCAAACCAACCCCCCCCCAAAAAAAACCAAAAACAAACAAACAAAAAAACAAACCACACATTCCAAAGAATGCTGGCTCACTGGTGGCTTGTTTAGGTTTTGTTTCTTCTCCTGTTTAACTTGTTTCACATACAATGCCAATTACTTTCTAATAGAGATATACTTCTGATTATGTTGATCAATCAAAGTCATCAGAACTTATTCTACAGGTTCCACGCTGCCTGTACAAAATGGGTATACATTCTGGAGTCTGACAGTCAAGGGTCCCAGACAACCTGTTTCTCTAACCATGAGGTAAGCCATGTCCTAATAAAGCATCTTTATTACCCCTCCTCAAGTGATGATCACCTGAAACGGTCTCTTCTTAACTTTCTAGGGTCCAGTCTTATTTGACCTAGCAAGAGTTAGATGACAGGGTCACCTTTACAGGGCCTTCCTGACGCCCAGATAAATGACATCTCTTCTCTGTCTGTGTTCTTGTTATGGCATCTACAGCTTCCTATGTTGTTGTAAGTCAGTCACACACAGGACCTGTTTGAACTAAAATGTTCATCAGAGGTAAGAATTTTGTGTCAGTAACCTACTGTTACTTAGAACCAAGCACACTGTGCCACGGAATCCCACTTTGCTGATTAAGCAAGCAAGTATGAGTCCTTTGTTAATTGTTTTAGGAAAAGAAGTGACAGTGGAGACAGTTATTTGTACCAGACATTTCAGTAGGACCTTTTCATAACCACACCATCACAACAATTCTTACAAGGGAACTACGAGATGGAGATTATTCGCCCTGTCTCATGGAGCTGTGACTCTGAGACTCAAAGTAATGTACCCAAGGCCCACAGGTCGTGAGATGGTAACACGAAGGTAGAGTTTCAGAATGACTACGGAGCTTGTGCTCTTCTGCACCCCATAGTCTTGCTTGGTTTGTGTATGCTTATGATGTTAATAAACAGCACTGACTGCCTGTGTGAGCTTACAACCACATCATGAAAGTCAGAGTGCATGGAAATGATATTCACAGTTGCTTATTTTTTCAGTTTCCCTCGGGACTCTTGACACCTTAATCTAAGTATAGCCTGGGAAAGGTTTAAATAATGTCTTTCAATGCACTCTAAGGTAGTTTTCTTATTGTTGCATTCTTACTTTAGGGGCAAAAGTATAAACGAATGATTTCTTGCTGAATCCTCTAGTCAAGGGAAAATTACCAAGATGGTTGCTGTGTGGTTTCAGGCCATTTAGTTTCGGAAGGATGGAGTGATAAGCAACGCAGTTTGTGTACCAGCTAATGCAGTCAGTGTTCATAGAGATGCTTCTGAATTAAATAGCTAAACACTAAAATAGCATTTTATCAAACAATCATCATAAATAAAATGTATTTTGACTTTACGATGACATGTGCTCTTACAGGAATGTTTCTTCTGCAAGCTAAGGATTGCATAACAAATTAAGAACACACATCTATGTGGATAAGAGGCAAATAAACTTTCCCCAGCAGTAATGTGGGAATCATCACTGACGGTTTGACATATCAATATTTCAGGAAGAATAAATGACTTTCATATCCGCATTTTTAAAAAATCATATACTTATTCATTTTTGCATTACTTGAATACTTTGGAAAGAATCTGTACTTTATCACCTGAAACTGTTAAAAGTATTTCAAAATATTTTAATAAAGCTTTTTGAATGATCAAATAATGTAACTTTTAAACAAATTTTACTATTATTATAAATATTTGCTCTTCATCCCTTGCCCAAAGGAAAACTATAAATCTTGTCTCAACTGAATGAACACCATTTATCATATTCATTTTGTTGTCAATACAATTATGAAAAGCCTTTGGCCTTTTCCCAAGGAAGCTGATTTGCTACTGAAACTCAATTATTATAAGCAAGGCCAGTAGCAAGCCACTGCGTCTTGCAGTGTAGCACAGCTTGCCGCTTAAGTGACATCTCGCCCTTTGCTCCTGACCCCAATAACTTCAACATCTATGGTCAAATGGAGGAGATACTGGTTTCTAGTTCAAAATAAAACACCATGTCCCAAGATTTTCTGTTTCTGCCATCTGCTGGACAAATGCTGAAATGGAAACCAGATTATATTTATTGACACAGGAGGGAGTTTCTGACCTTGGCTCTTCTTAGAACTGGTGAACAGGAAAAAACCCCATTAACTGTTGGACAGGCTGGCTTTAGAGCCTGGTTTCAAGTGAATTAGCAATTTTTCATACCAAAATTAGGCTTTTATGATTTTCTAAATAAATGAAAGTTTTGATTTTGGAAATGGGTGTATAGAAAAATAAAACGGTCATATGTATCTGGTCTATCCTTAGTAGATTAAATTAAGACTTTCTAATGATTAAATTTATAACCTCTGGACACATACATTATATGAATAAGTCATGTAGTTGAGTCTTCAGGGCCATGAAAAAATCTTATCTGTATGATCTATAAGAAAATAAATGAGGAAGTAGGTTTCCCTAGCAACTAAAACCATAAGTCACTAATACTCTACTAACATTAATGTTTACAAATTTTCATAATGTGTGGTGCTCTAAAATATGCTCAGATCTGTTATGTTTCGGGCCATAACTATGGCACAGTCACTGTACATTGCTTTTAAGATGTTTCCTTTACAAAATATAAAGAAAGTTAGTATAAGAAAGACTTAAATAAAGCAAGAGAGAAGTAGTACCCCTCAAATGTAAATTAAGCTGGGCATGTTACAGGTCTGTAATCTCAATACTTAGGTGGCTGAGGCAGGAAGACAAGGAGATTAAGTTCATCCTTGGTTCCATGTCAAGTCTGAGGTCAACCTGGGCTACACAAAACACTGTTTCAAGAAAGAAAGCCATGAAATAAAACAAGTCAGTTTGCTTTAAAGTAGAATTTTCTTAGGTGCTGCTGGTTTCAAATATAAAGGGCATGAAGCTATCATACTTCAATGACTTGTATAAACAGTCATCTCCTGTTAGGATCAAAGATGACTCAGAGTACTATTAACATGTTAAAAATGTTTATGGTCATTGTGTGTGTGTCAGACATCAGACAGAATGTTTAGTTATCTTAGTGGACACAGTAAGCCAGGATACTAGACTGTCTCCTTTGCCGGTTGATGACATCAAGTCTCCGAGAAATAGAATGATTTGCTGAGGTTTACACAGTAATTGAAGAGCTAGGATTTCAAACCTCATCTGTCTCTTTTTATTCTTATGTGATGAAGCATTTCTATATAGGGATTCCCCTCCTCCCATCTATACCATGGTTTAGTAACGGTAAATTCAAATTTTATAGCAAATGACAAATCCTGGTCATTTATCCCTGCCACCTTCATGACTGTTAACATCCTCATCAGATGGCCAACTGTAGCATTATGAGTAAAATCTTGAAAAGATAAACTAACCTTCTCAGCCCTGCTAATTGAGATGGAACAGAGACTTCAAAGTCTCCTCAGAAAATACCACATGGTACAAATCACTGGTCACAAGTACAGATATTAGCTACATGATGCCTGCAGCCCCAACATAAACAATCATTTGAGGGAAGTGATTTTTAAGTTGTCAATATTTAATGGTATCTATCAAAAAAGTGACCTCTTTGAGCTGGGTCTCCAAATGCTGTGCTCAGTTATCTGCACTGCTGCACTGTGCTGTAATTTTTAGCTGATTACACATTAGTTCATTTAGCTTTGTTTCCTCTTCCCTACTGTGCCACACTATTAAACGAAAGAGAGGGGCCTGGCATCCCTCTGTGCACAGAGCTGGTATTGTCACAGTGTAATAAGGATACATCCAGTCAAACAGCATGGTGTAGCTGGTCTTTGTGTTCAGTGCAAAGGCAATCCCTCGAAGATCTCTTGCCAGCCCGATCAACATACGCTGTCAGTGGGAAAGAGACACAGTAATTGATTTTCACGTTAGCGCAGAGCAGATGGAGTAATAATCAGGCAATAATGACCACATATCTGATTCTGATTCATTAGCTAAAATGTCTCGCTCAGATCCCTTTCCATAGAAAACCATAGACTCTTTAATAAACAGACCATCAATCTGCTGACCAACTTCACTTTGCTTCTTATAAATTGAGCTAATTCTTAATTCCAGGAGCACAGAAACATTGAGATGCAATATATGTTTTATCTGAATACTGCCAAATTAAAAAAAAAAACAAAATAAAACAGGACTCATAATTTCACAAGAGATATATAGTCTAGACATTATTTAATAACAAATCTCAACCAACTGGCTTGACTAAAATCAATCTCACTATACAATTTAGTCTGCCCTAGAAATGCACTGGCATTTAAAGACCCCAAAGAAAAGTTGCAATAACTCAGGACAAGAGGTGACCTACTGCATTTTGATATACTCAGAAAGGAAGCCATATTGTTCAAGTTAGTGAATGATGTAAGGAAAAAAGTTCTGTATTTAATGTCATAAGACTCTGAAATTGAACTCTTTGTTTAATTCTTAAAGGCAAGGCCGCTTATCCATTAGTTTCCTCATCAAAGGGGCTAATTATAATTATGGCCATTCTATAGACCTGCTACGAGAAATCCATTTGTGTGCAAAAATGCCTAGCAATAGCTTGACAAATAGTAAGTGTGGTTCACAAATGGTTTTAGAAGGGAGAGGGGGAAGCCAAACCAAACCTCCTTGACATGAATAAAAAAGATCTGACTCATACTCTGGACTCTTAATTAAGCTGTCCTTAGGATGATGATTAGGAAGAGAAAAGAAAACCCGTGAACAGATGCTAGAATGTTAGAACAAAGAGCACGAATAAACATAATTGCCCAACAAGGAGGTGGGATAGCAGAGATATGCAACTGTGATTTCTGAATATACTGCTTCAGTAGAAATGCTAAGCCAGAAAAAAGTCTCAGGATCTCTACAGATTGACTTAGGTAATGAAGAGAAATCTGTCTAGTAAGATGCCTAAGTTATCAAGTAGGCAATGAATTTTGACCATCTTAATTACAGAGGACATTTTAAAGGAACAAATTATAGCAAGCAGTCAGACATTCGGCTCCTCCTACCTAACAGGCAACTCAGTGTACCTGGATATTGTCCAGGGGACTACTCAATTTCTGTTTCTAACTGTTTACAGAATGATGGGAACCCAAAGTTCTGAATCTGAAAACTTCTAATTTCAATTTTTTCTGCTTAAAATGACTCATTTAGCGTTCTCCCATAACATCATCAGCTTCTGCTCTTCTATAGTCACCAGGCCTCCTCACAATTACCTCATGTTACTGCTACTTTTTAAAATTGCTTATTATTCAGTTTTTTCTTACCAGTTAGAACTAGTCTCTTTCTCAGCTTCCTTCCTTCTTTGCAGCCTCCAGAACAAAATCTGTCGTCTAAGAAGCGCCCTCTGAACACTGGCGTTCTGGCTGCTGTCTATGCTGTCCTATGGATTCTACTTGGCTTTGCCATCTATTATAGCACTTTTTAAAAATTCTATTTTTATGTACACTTATACAGGCTACTCTTCAGGTAATTTGAGTTTCCATATATATATATATATATATAAGATATCCATTATTCAATTCTAAATTAGTAAATAAGAACCATGAATTTTACTTTATTCCTTGTACAAAGGGTTTTTCATAAAATGTCATCATACAAAAGGTTAATTTTTATTTGGTCAGACTTCCTTCCTTGAAGGTACCAAGTTGATATAAATGCTCTAATTAAGCAAACCTATGGTCTTTTTAATACAGTAAAATGTGGCCATAAAATTTACTAATGTTTTACTTTTGGAAAGTGTTACTTCAGAGCAGAGACAGCATATAACAAACTAAGCGTAAGTTTTAGATAGATTCACTCTAGTTGTAAAGTGTAATCTTAATGTAAGAAACAGATTCATTATATTAAAAAAATAGCAGTCCTCTCAGGGCAGCATAGAGTCTACACACATACATAAACAACTCTACAGGAGAATTTCCTCAATACTCAGCTCTGGTATGAAACAGACAGCCTTAACCAGAAGCTCACACTAGCTAGCAAATAACCCAGAATCTTGCGGGTGGGGGACAGATCTAAAAGGTGATGAGTTCTAATAATTTTCTTGAGGCACATTTGAGGAGTGGGGTAGGTCTGGGGATCTGCTCCTATGGACTCCTTTTTGGAGAGTTCAAGAAGAACCTGCTGAGGGCTTCAGTCCGCGGCATGGTGAACAGTTGTCTGTGTGCCAAGTGTGAGACGGATGGGCTGGGAAACAGCTGAAACGCAGCTCCTTCCACCCTGACCCCCAAACAGGGTTTCTAATGGGAAGTCTGACAGACCCTTTACTGTAGTGGTACTACTGGGGCAGCTATAATATTATCCTCATAATTCTACTATATAATAACAACAAAGAAAAAGAAGGTGAAGGGTCATTGTGCTTTGTCTTTAGAATTAAGATGGCTGTCTTCATCCTTACAGCATACTCTTAATTCTGGAGACACATCTTAATAACCTCTAAATAGTTCCAACAAAAGAGCCGTGTCAGAGGAATGAGCAGGCCCCAAGGTGTTTCAACTGGAGTGTTTTCATCTGCCTTTATTGCTCTATCCCTCTCCAGAATTAAGGCAATAACCTGTGATAAATTATTCAGGAACTGCTACAGGGATCAAAGCAAAATCATTCTGTTAAAGTGCTGTTTGCAACATTTGGCACTTAGTGCGAAAACTTTTAATGTGCGCATGCTGAAAATCAAGGATTTTAAATAATTTAACATCGGGGAGTTTTTACGAAGGGACTAAAGATAGCAGGTTCCTATTTAACTGCTCCTCTTCCTCTGAGAAGTTTTTCATTCATTTTCCTTAAAACCCGTGACGTCATGGCTGAACTGAAAAATATGCATGGGCTAGGGTAACAGCACACTATATTTTAATATGGATAAAAGGATGGGGGGTGGGAAGCATGAAACATTTTGAAATAATACTCCGGAATCAGGATTTTTTTTTTTTGTTTGTTGTTGTTTTGTTTTGTTTGTTTCTTTCTTTGCCCTTGACTTTGGAGAAAGAAAAACTGAAAACAAAACAAAATCTCAAGACAAAAATTCAACATTCTCTTCAATTTTATTAGGACTAAGTAAGGAAAACAAAGTCATAAATAAGGGCTTTTCAGCATTTCTTTCCCTCACAGTATCTCAGTTTGGCACCATAGGTCCTAAACTCTGCATTTGAAAAGTATCTATAAATAGGGATTTAGACGATCCGGTAAGGGCTGCAAATTAAATGAATTTGGCAGTCCTGCAGCATTTTCATAAAGATATTTTAACAACATCACCTCCTGTGGATTGGAATACTAAATACTTTATTGGAGGACAAAACAGAACTGTTTTTATCTTTAGTACTTGCAAAATGAAATACCTGAGAGCACCTCTGCATGTTTTATTTATTCACCATGATAGAAAAATAGCCTTAACCTAATAAATTACATTTAAGAGCATTAATGCAAAAGTTTTGTTTACGATAAAGCAACAGATTTCGTTCCTTATTGGTAGCTTTAAGCACCAAGTTTTCTTCATACAAATTAGACAGATGGTGCTTACAGTAGAATTTACTAAAGGTCTGTCACAACAAATGCAGCCAAGCTGCATATTTAATCACTGCAGAATCTTGTCTACCTGCAGCTGCCAACTGCTAATCCAATTTCCCTGATAAATGTGGCAAGAGACACGATCAGCAATAAAGAGCATCTAACTCCATTTTCCTGCAGGGCGTCTTTTGATGAACATTTAGGACGGAAGCACGGAGTGCACTGTGTGGCCTTGGTTCGTGGCAGCTGCATGCATTCTGAGGCACAGTTCTCAGGTTACTCACTTAATTCTGCTACTATCATTACGTTGCTATTGATCTCAGTAGCTGTTGCCTACACAGCATTACTCTAGATGAAGCTGAATCAGGCAGTTATCATGCATCAAACTTGCTCAAAAGCCTGGAGATTTCCCCTTAATTACTTGTGATTTTATTTGCAAATACCGTTAAAGTGTAATCAAGCAGTCACTTTCCAGGGTCGTTAAGAACTTGCTAGTTTAGGGATATATCACTGGAACTCCATTAAAAATGACTCTAGGAAGATGGTTTCTATCAAACTAGATGGAATTACATCCAAACAGGCTTGGAATATAATGAAATCCTCAAATGAGACAAATGTAATTTTTATAAAGATGGCAGTTTTTAACCTCACCAAATCTTTTTGGTAAGGGGCAGCAAGGGCTACTTAAAAGCTGCAAAGATTCTGTTGGTCAGAAGCATTTGGAGACATCTAAAAAATATAGTTAGTTTGGCTAGGAACTGACAAAGAATTCAGGAACACCATATAAACAAAGAAAAATTAAGATCTCACTTACTTTTTAAAATTTCTATGTTATCCTGATAAGCAGATAGTTCAAGAACTTTATTTTAAACTAAAAGGTATAGCACGTAGGTAATTATTTTGTTCACAGAAGAACTGTCTAAATACCAGTAACGGCCACCCTTTTCTAATTGGTTTCATGGTATTTGTGTGCATGTGTATGAGAGAAAGAATAAGGGAGGGAGGGAGGAAACGAGGAGAAGAGACGCCATGAAAAGATGGTTCATATTTCAACCTATTTCAAATAACAATAACACGTGACTAGGGCATCACCAACAAGGGTACCTACTTCTCTGGAGTGTATTTATTATTCTTAAAAAGAAATAATCAGTGCCAATCTATTTACTATAGCTCCAATACAGTGTAATTTCAGGAGACACTATTCCTGTTTGGCAAAGCTCCTGCTTCCCATCCCCCACGTTAAAATATGGGGCTGTTCTGTCACAAACAGCTTGCTACACTTAAGGATTTTACTAATAAAACATAATGTTGTCTTAGATATTATGACTGTTGCCACAGCTGAACTGACTTGTCAAATCAATCCTAATATGGCTCCCACAGGCACATAAAGCCTTATTTAGCTATCAGTTATCCTAATCACTTTGTTCAGTTTAAGAATGCAACACTTCAAGACTGGATCCTATTTATACACATATGCCTAGCCATTTAATAAAGTCTTGATTTATATAAATTCTTGTTTAAAAAATCTTCAGAGATGTAGGGTTTTAGCATGTGTGCATGTCTCTATATGGATATGCTGAAACACACAGAGCAGGGTGAACGGGAGGGAGCAATGTTTAAAGTGGTCTGTCAACGAGAACTGTGCTATCACAGTGTGCATCACTGGAGACAAATCTGCACCATCTAACCATGAACTGACTGTCCTAAGCCAGTCACTGACCTCACAGTTCATTTGCATCCGAAACTAGACAAGTGCCTACATTAAGGCACGTCTCACAAGCATATTACTTAGAAATGTGGGCCCGAGACACACATATACACATATACAAGGAACTTCTCTGGTGTTAGGCACTGAGAAAGAATACTTGTCCCTCCTCATGTTATGTCTGGAAACAAACTCACCTTCACTTCTTCTTGTTTAAAGTTGTTGTTGAATATTTGCAAAACTGTTTCAAAAGAGACTGTGAGAGGTAGCATAAAATTCTCAAATTCATCCTCATCTTCACCTACAGAAAACAAAAGGGTTGCTATGGTTTAAAACGCATGCTAATGTAATGTACATCAGCTCAGCACTGAGCGCTTCACTCAGGTTTAGAAATGTTCCTGTGAAGAGGTCAGCGGCATCCCATCTATGCAACAACTGGTGCTTTGGCTCACTGAACACTCTAGTTTCTCTCTGTCCTTGACACCAAATCAAACAGCAACATTACTCAACAGCCATTTCACCCCTATCTTTTTACTGGCTCTTAACTGACTCATGCCCAGGCATTGCCACCCATCTTTACTTCCTGGGGCCCTCAGAGTTTCCTTACTTCCAAAGCTTCACAGACAACATTCTCTCCTTTTCCTTTTTTCTCTTTTGGTGCCAAGGCCCCAAAGGGCTCACAGACTCAAGTGCTCAGATAGTTCTAAGTTATTATTTTCTTTTATTTGTATTCTTTAAAATATTAGCTTATGGGGGCTGGAGATATAACTGCCTCAGTAATTAAGAGCACTTGCTGCTCTTACAGAGGATCTGAGCTCTGCTCCCAACACTGACCTCAGGCAGCTCACAACTGCCTCTAACTCTAACTCCATGGGATCCAACACCCTCTTCTGGGGGCACACACTCTCAAATACACACATATACATAAATACAAACAAATCTTTAAAAATTAACTTATTAACAAATGACAGAAGGATGAGGTCCCCTCATGGTTCATTTGTATTTCAATTGTTCTCCACAGAACACTTCCTGTTCATAACGGACAAGAGTAAAAAGAGGTATTACCTATTAATTTTTCATATAAAGGTAGACCTATATTTTCCTTAAGAATTCTGTCAAAACAGAATCCTCACACACTAATAATACACATACTATTCTTTTCAAAATTGGTTTCTCTGAAATTAGATTGGACTCTGGTTCATCCTATGCCACAGGGAACCATTTACTAATGAAACAACAGAAAAAGCTTATATGTCTTGCTGAAAGTGCCACTTAGAAGAGAACTATATAGTTCAGACCTTCTGATTTCTGAGCTATTAGTGGTTTTAAAATGCAGCATCTGATAGTAAACAACTTCAGAGAAGAGACTAGTGGTCCTCAATGGTTGATACTTGCCCTAGAAGCAGGACCATTACCTGGGGCTTATGACATGCCAACTTCTAGGTTCCAATCCAGACCTACTCTACTGCATCAGAATCTTTGGGGGCAGAGAACAGCAACTGTTTTAGCAAGCTTTCCAGATGATTTAGATGCCTGTCAACTTTAGAGAAACTGACGTACTCATCCTTATACAGATGATGAAGTCCAAGGTGCCACACACACACACACACACACACACACACACACCACTCGATAGTGGAGCTTTTGACTCTTCAGTGGTGGCTGATTTGGTTGACCCTTATCTTTTAAGATTTCCCTCTCCCCTTAAAACCTATATAATTTGTCTTTAGAGTCCAACAGAATGGAGAACACAAAAAGATGCCAAAAGTCAATCAATCTTTCCTGGTGTTCTAGTCATAGGTTAAGATCTTAGGTAAAGACTAAGGCAGGCCAATTTATAATCTCAGCTCTGTCAAGTGGTTATGTGACCATATCATTCTTCATATCCAGCACCGTTTGCCACAGAAGTTATTTTCAAGGCTCGCATCCAAAGATGTCATCTAAAGATGGCTACTCCCTTCTCAGACATTACATACAAGTACTTCATCTCCTTCCTATGTCTGTTGTATGTCCCCCTTATTTTTAATCACACATTTAATAATACCAGCAATACTGTAGCCACTTACATAATACCATCACCATTTGATCAAGGCCTCTGTGTACTGATGGAGAGGAAATTTATAATGTGCATATGTAAATTTTTAACTACTAACCTATACTAGCTACTATCTTGGGCTTAGCCTCAGTGTGCTGCCATAGTATGCTACTGTTTTCCTGTGATGGGTGATTATGCAGGGCTCTACAGTACACAGATTCAGGAATCTGACTTTTACCACAAATTATTTAACCTTGGGTATTTTATTAATCACTGAATCTCAGCTTCTTCATCTATAAAATAAAGGTAAAACTATCTATCTTTAAGGTTTCTGTAAAGATTAAATGCTAAAATACATGAAAAAATAGATGTTTCATATATACTATGACTTATAGTATATATGTACTAGTATTGCAGTATTAGCTCCAAAAATAGTGCTTTTTGTTACTAGGAAGGTACTATGTTTGAATGAAAAACAGTTGTTCAACAAGTTTCCAAAGTCTTGGGTCTGGTATGATTGAAGTCCAAGCCTATAATATCAGTACTTGGAAGTAGAAGCAGGGGGATCAGGAGTTCAAAGCCAGGCTCAGCTACTTGAAAACCTTTTACATTATTATTATTATTATTATTATTATTTTAAAAACTCTTGATATTTTAAAAAAGGGCCTTGGGGGGTAGGTCAATGGTAGAGTAGTAACAGTGCCTAGCATCTGTGAAAGACCTGGGTTCAAACATTACCACCACAAAGGAAACACAAAAAAGATTCTAGGAAAAAACAAAAGCTTACTCTAATAAATAGTAGAAGTGACTATTGTCAAATCCTAGGTATAGACTACACATGCACATTGAATTTAAAAACACAATCTTACTCTATGATAAAGTATTTTCTAAAAATGATTATTAACAAGAACAGTGAGAGTTATTCCTGCAGACAGAAGAGTGCTGGGAAGAGCAGAAGCTCCGAAACTAAGCTTCAGTCCTGGCTCTGCTACTGTTAGCTGTCTGCCATCTAAGCTTTAGTGTCCTCATTTGTAATTAAGAGACACAATATTTACTTCATAAAGTTAGCTGTGAGGATTAAATGACAAAGCATCTGTACCTCCCCTTGCTGGCACTTCATAAATGACAGCCATTAGCATTTTCGTTGTCTTGAGTTCAACATGGACTTAGAGAGGTGATTATGATAATTAAATAAAGTGTGACCACACGACTGCCAGCCCAATAAATATCCTTCCTTTGGGAATGAAGCTTCTGCAACAAAGCTTCGACTTTTCCAATGCAAAGAGATGTTTATTCATAACAAACACAATTCAGAGCTTCTGCATTTCAACTTTATATTTTGAACTACAGATAAACCAATCTTCCAGATTCCATCAATTTCACGAATCCAAATTCTTGAGGCCCACTCAATAGGCAGGAAACCACGCCTGGTCTTAGAAATCTAAGGTCATGGATATTACAAGAGAACTTACTACTGCTATTACCAGACCAGCACAATTCCTAACTGCATTCTAAAACTTTTCCTTATACTCACAGGTAAGTGCAGCTCTCACCTCTCAAGAAGCTTCTCTTTACAGAAAATGGAGACCATTACAGAAAAATCACAACTGGTCATAATGCAGAGATCAACAGAACGTGGGGAACTCAGTTAAATATCTGTAATACAACTCCTATACTGAAGGCTCAGGAAACATGGAAGGACAGGAGGCATAGAGAGGTAAAGAGCCAGAGGACCATGGAGAATGAATCTCAGAAATAACAGGGAAGGCACACTGATGTTCCTAAACAACATCAATAATATGGCTGCCCAAACAAGATCTGAATAATGACAATATTAACAGACATGATAATGGGGTAGGGCTCAATTTAGCCTGGTAAATAACAAATAACAACTATTGACTACTGAGAAAGGGAGAACTAGCTTTTACAGGGATGAGATCCTTAAGTGGTCAGCCCTAAGATTCTTTAACCATATACACATAAGGCACACTAAATGGACTCAGCAAGTTATATATGTGTGTGTCTAACAATAACAGTCAAAGAAAAAGAGGTCATCAGTTTGAGAGGGCGTGGGAAGTGACATGAGAAGGCTGGGAGAGGAGACATGAGAGGGGATGAAGATAGAGGAAAGGAAAATGGGAAGTGACACAACTGTATTTCAATTAAATTTTAATAAAAATTAAAAAAAAAATAAAGATTTCAGATGGGTAGTGGTAGCGCAAGCCTTTAATCCCAGCACTTAGGAGGCAGAGGCACATGGATCTCTGAGTTTGAGGTTATCCTAATCTACAGAGCGAACTCCAGGGCAGCCAGGGCTACACAGAGAAACCCTGTCTTGGAAAACAACAAACAAAACCCCAACGATTTCCTCACGTGAAAAACCAATCCAGTGACTAGGGAGGTGAGCAGCAGTGCTCCTCTATGCAGCAGCGCGTTCACAGGCCTTCTCTGCCCACTGGATCTCCAGTGACTCCCTCCACCGTCAGTTCCAACCTGCTTTCCTGTTCTTACTGGAGTTAAATGACTGGCCAGGACCTCTTACAGACGTTGTCATTTGTTTTCTTTGTTAGAATACAACCTTTTTGGGGAGGGACGTGATCTACATTGATCACAGCTCTCTCTCCATTATTTAGAATAGGGTCTGGACGAATTCAGTACTGAATTTAGTGAAAGAACACACTCATGGCTCTTACTATATTCAACAAACTGTTGGAACTCACAATCCCATGAAATCCTACAATCTCAATTTTTTATGGGAACAGAGAAGCCCAAAAGAATTAAGTAGCTTGCCAAATATCTTCCAGCTGATAAATGCTAGTGATGATCTGAGATGCTGATCATCTGTTTTGTTCTTAAGTTCATTCTCTTCCCCAGTATCTCTGATGGAGTGGAAGACATCAAAATTATGGAGCGAAGTCTGACACAGACTCTTGAATTTGGAGTTGCAAAAGACAGAAGAGAGTAAAAGGAAGCGTGGTGCTGGTGAGGAAAACAGGATCCCTAGGCAGCAGCGAGTTTCAAGAGGCCGGTGGAGGAGGGAGGTCATGAGCAGTGTCTCCACTGCACTTAGTGCTCTTCCTGTGTGACTGCAGGGTTAGGTCTTATGGCCTAAGCTGGAAAACTGGCTACTTTAAACATCATCCATTAAGGATTTCTCCCTTCCTCGATCACATTGTCTACAGAGGTACCATTTACTGGTTCTGATGCAAAAGAAGAAACATGAGATGTCTTATAGTGGAAAACTCAAGGATGTAGTGATGTATTTA